GGTCTGGACTGTACAATCCTATATACTGTACAGCACTGAGACACATTTTAAGTTTACCTCACATTATCATTCCTTTACTTGTCAAAAATCATTATTTTTCTTAAACAAACTCATGTTTGGACACTGCCCTTACACTGACTGAGGCCTACATTGTCTTCATAGTTATTAAACACTCCTGGTTCTGAAACTAAGGTTTCCCCTGACATCATAACCCCCCACTCTGTCCATAAAAAGTTTCTGTWWATTACCTGGTAGTTGTTTATTCTTAGCTTTAGACATGATATAAGCTGTTTTAAATCCAACCAGGTCTAAGAGTTTTAACAGCAGGACTTGGTGAAGGACTCAGTGATCCTGGAGGCCACTGAGTGCACAACGGTCTGAGTGACCATTTGTAGCCGTTTCCCCAGGTTTCCACACAATCATTCAAATATGGCAAAATAAGTGAACAGTATACAATATGCAATGCTTTATTATTCAAAAAATATCTAGCTTTACTGAGGACTGAGATACTTCTTGTTATTTTAGCTTGAACTAACTGAATATGAGGTTCCCAGAAACTTAATTTCATTAACTCTGTCTACATCCTCACTTCCTATTTTTAAATGACTTTCCTTTATGATTTCCAAACAACATAAATTTAGTTTTGTCCAAATTTAACAGTAACTTATTTTTATCAAACCACTTTTTTAATTTATTTAATTCTGAGGCGATTACTTCACAAATCCTCCCCCTCACAGAAAACATTTGTTTCATGTACAAAGAGAACAAATTTTAATACTTTAGAGAGCGTTAGCTTCAGCTAATTATTATTTTTTACATGTTTAGTGATTTAGCATTAGCAAGGCTGTATTTTTAGTTAGCATAATATGAGCTTGTGAAGCTAATATTTTGGTTAGCTGAGCCTACCTTGTTTTAAACCTACTGCATATTCTCTGGTTTTTCTTAGAAATGTTCTTTTTATTTATTTATTAATTATTTATTTGTTTGTTTGTAGCACCAGAAAATCCCTTCTAATAATGTTTGGTATCATCATGAAGCTATAGTTTCTTATTGTACAGTTTGCGTGCTCAGAAACAAAAGTAGCGACACATGAAACCCTTAAACTAATGTTAGCAGGAGACTGAGCCATCACTCCCAGGTCTGTGTGTTTGAGTCGAAGCTCTGAAGGTTTTAATAAACAGCTTGAAGCTTCTGATCTGGTCTACAGAGAAGTGAGACCTGCTCAGAAGATACTCTGTTGGTGTTTTCACCAGGTTTAAGTGACTGACTGCAGGTGAACCGTCTCCCAACAGGTCGGCTCATGCACCTGTACGCCATCTGTGTGGACTGCCTGGAGGGCGTCCACAAGATCGTCTGCATCAAGTGCAAGTCTCGCTGGGACGGGAGCTGGCACCAGCTGGGCACCATGTACACCTACGATATACTGGCCGCTTCGCCGTGCTGCCAGGTGTGTGCACGGCTCTCTGAACGCTCACTGCAAGTAGTAATGATGATGATATTAATAATAATAATGATAATGAACACTGTAAGTTAAATAAAAAATACATTTTTTCTAAGGTTATTTATAATTGTGTAGATCTTTTCTCATGTTTTGAGTTTAGTTTCTGCTAAAAAAGGTTTAATTCTGGTCTCAGTCTGTCAGTCATTAMTAAGTGGGTTCTTCTGTTGCTGCTTGAAATCAAATAATGAATTCCTGCAGCTTCTTATGCAACAAGAGATTACAGATGTGTTTTCTGAGGTGTAACGACTCAGGAAGTTAACGAACAGAAAACAGATACGTGTCATAATTTAAGATTAGGCTTTTTGGGATCACATGTGAATATTAGGTGAGTAAAATGTACACGTAACAGCAAACAGGTGGTGTTTGGCCCTAWAATGAATAAACCTTCCTCTAGATTAGTGGTTCACAAAGTTGGGGTCAGGACCCAAAGTGGGGTCCTGAAACATCAGGGTGGGGTCCTGAAAAGATTTTCTACATTAATGACATTTTTGCCTTAGTTGTTACCTAAAATGTACAAACGTAGAATAATAAATATTGTTACTATGCCCATGTTTAGTTGACCTGATACAAATGTTTATCATATAAAAACAGATGTGGGCTCAGGTTTCTGCTGCTGGTATTTTGTGGGTCGAAAGCTGAAAAGTTTGGGAACCACTGCACTTCAGAAATCAATTTAAAGGGTAATAAAATAATAGGTGATGTAATATTTTCCCTATAATTATTACAAAAACACAAAATAAGTATAAATAAGTATTTATATTTGTGTAGCCTTTATTTTTAGGGTTATTAACAAAGTTTGTGTACTCAGACCAGTAATATTTGGGGTCACAAGTTTTTGCCGTGGATATTTAGTGGGTTAGAAGATAAAAAGTTTGGGAACCACTGCTCTAGATTTTTATTTGTTTTAGTTATGAAGCTAAGAAACTACCTGACAAGGTTGTTGTGTAAGCTGAAACCAGGGTCGGCTCTACTCTATTTGGTGCCTCGGCTAAGTTTCAGGGGGTGCCCCTTGTGCAAGTTTTTATATTTTTTATAACCAAATTCAATATTTATGTCGTTATTATTTTTCATCTTCACAAACCAGGTAGTTAATATAATTAATTTGAAACAGAACACCTGCTGACATCATGAGGAACACCTGTTTATGTTAACCAGCAGCTGTGGAGTGAAGCAGTTCTAGGGGGGTCCAGGGGTGTATTCCAGGTGATAATTTATTAAAGATCTGCATTTTCCAGCCTTTTGAGGAACATTTTACTGAATTGATAAAACAAGATAAAATCTGCATTGTTTGAATGTAGAGGACTGAAACGAGACTTAAACCTGAACTTTATCTGAGCTCAGAACTGAAACTTGTRGTATCTGTGTTTCACACTGATCTTCATGTTTTAATGTGAAACCCACAGAATAAGTTCATAAACCTGAGGAACCAGTGATTATTCCACAGACTAAATCAAATGTTCTTTGATATAAAGCTATAAAATATTTATTTTCTCCGCCCCCCTAGCCCCCGGAGCCCTTAGTGTTTGCCTACGCTGCCTCAGGCTCCACCTGAAGCTAAATGTAAAAGCTGGAGCTACTTTTGATTTGATTCTGACTAGGCCTGTGTATTGGCAAGAATTTGGCGATACGATTCATATCATGACAAAGGGGTCACGATACGATATATCCCGACATATTGCGATACTGTAAGCAAGGCGATATATTGCGATTTTTTGGTCCAAAAACTCTTAAATAAAAACCTCTTACAGGGGAAAAAATGAAAAACCAAAATTCATTGTCTCAGAAAATTGTAATATTACATAGACAAACTTTTGATACATTTAGCTGTGTTCTACTTTGTATGGATTTGTTTCATATTTCTTATTTCATCCATGTTTTCAATTATTAGACTAAATTTGCCAATAAATAGTTTGAAAATATATATTTTTTGCAGCTTTTAATTTTTAATATTAATTTACAACATGGCCACCCAACACAATACCAAATGGCTGGCTCACTGCTGCCAACTAGTGGTCAGAGGCTGAACTACAACATAAAAATGAACAGCTGGCAGGAAAGTTGACATTTTGAACCTTAATAAAAAATCGATACAGGGCTTTAGAATATCGATACAGTATCGGGAAATGAAATATCGCGATATTTCAATGTATCAATATTTTCTTACACCCCTAATTCTGACCCGTGTCCCTGTGTCCCTCAGGCCCGTCTCAACTGTAAGCACTGCGGGAAGCCGGTGGTGGACGTGCGGGTGGGCATGCAGTATTTCTCAGAGTACAGTAACGTCCAGCAGTGCCCTCACTGCGGGAACCTGGACTATCACTTCGTCAAACCCTTCTCCTCCTTCAAAGTCCTCGAGGCTTATTGACAAATGTTTTAATGCATGCTAGTTCAGCTGCTTTCTTTAGTTCTCACTCAGTCTAGGAAAGATTTTATTTTAGTTTGTTGTTTTTCTGGGGGGGGGGGTATAAGGTGGTTTTATGTTTTTAGGTAAATAAATAAATAAAGTCTGGTTACCACAGAAAGGCTGGAGGACAGTATCTGTTGGAGACGTGTGGAGCTGATGTTCACATTTATCTGTGACGAGTGAATGTACCTGTACGCCAAATTTACCGTTATTTTTTACCAGAAACAATCCTAAATAATAAAAAATAATAATAAAAGATTCAGACTGATGTTTTATTTGTTTTTTCACATCTTCAGCATCTTTTCAGGTGAATCTCTTCAAACACAGCTCCTGTTTTTATTATTATTTTATGTAGTTTTGTCTGTTTTGAAGCTTTTCAGTAGATTTCTCAAAGTTTTTTTAATAAAAATTGTATAATAGAAATGTCTTCTGTAGTTTAGAACCTTTCTAACCTTTCGGAGAACACAAAATTAAGAATAAAAACAGAAATATAAAAAAGTAGAAGTACTTTGGTGCATTCGGACACAGATCCTCCACAAAGAGGTTGTATTTTATTACCGTCCTTGTTGATGCAGAAGCTTTTAATATATTTCTAAAACATTGTGAAATTAGATCAGACGTCAGCAGGAACCTTTATTTAAAGCAGTGCATGTAAACATTTTAAATTTTAAGCCAGTTTTTAGTTTGACTGAGAAAACTTGAAAACCTTAGATTATTTTTAAATGATGAATATAAATCAGTTTTAAACCAACTGCACTCAGTATTTATTCACTAGTTCAATTTTTTAACTGCAGTCGGTTTACAAGAACTACAATCAGCTGGTTTCTGCAGACAGAAGAGGACAAATGATAGAAGATCAGGAAATCTTTTAGTGAAAAATAAAAACCCTGTAAACTCTTTATTTTTTAGTAGTTTTTTTATTTTTTTGTTTTTTATTTTAGGACATTTTGTTGAAGTTTAAAAAAAGTGAAAAAAGGAAGTTCATCAAATCAAACCCGGTGTGTAAATCATGTTTTATTGCAGAAATCCTGTTTTCTGTAGATCTGTTTCGTCTCTTCAGGTCCCTCTGAGGGAGCAGAAAAACCGGATCAGAACCGGACCCTCCCAGACCACCTTCACACGAAGTCCGGACCCTTTTTATCTGTGTCGGTTCTGTAGTCTGAACTCTGACCATCCTGACCCCAAACAAGCAGCCGAGTCCATCATTTATAATGTGTCTCAGGAGAAAGGTCCACTCTGTCGCCCACCTGCGCTCTGATTGTTTTAGGCCCCGCCCCCGTCAGCTGTCAATCAAAGAACAGGTACAGCTTCACACCTGTTGGCTCCTTACTCTGAAGCTGAGACAGTTTGTCCCTCATGTTACTGCTGTCCCGACTCCTCAGGTGCACCTGTGTTCTCAGCAGGAGGGGTCTGATTCCCCTCAGGGGCGGGGCTAACGGAACTCTCAGACATCTTTTCTCTCATCAGCGCCAGCTCCTTTTTGGTCGGCGCTCTGAGCATGCACGATGCAGAGAAACCCACTTTCCAAACCTTCGGCTCGTGGACGAAGCCCATCGGTTCCTTCAGCTGCTGCAAGATTTCCTGCAAAGCTCCGACCTGCAGGAAGACAACAAACTGATTGTGGCTGCGCTAACATCCCGCCACACATCAGCTAAAGTTTGTTTATTCCAAACATGGAGGAAAAGAAACTGGTTGTTAAATGTGCTGAAAGATTTGTGCTGAGGAGCTACAAAAAGCTGAAACTAGCCTAGCTTTAAAAAGTAGCTGCAAAAAGCTGAAACTAGCCTAGCTTTAAAAATGAGCTACAAAGAGCTGAAACTAGCCTAGCTTTAAAAATGAGCTGCAAAAAGCTGAAACTAGCCTAGCTTTAAAAAGTAGCTACAAAAAGCTGAAACTAGCCTAGCTTTAAAAAGAAGCTGTAAAAAGCTGAAACTAGCCTAGTTTTTAAAAAGTAGCTACAAAAAGCTGAAACTAGCCTAGCTTTAAAAAGGAGCTACAAAAGCTGAAACTAGCCTAGCTTTAAAAAGGAGCTACAAAAAGCTGAAACTAGCCTAGCTTTAAAAAGTAGCTGTAAAAAGATGAAACTAGCCTAGCTTTAAAAAGAAGCTGTAAAAAGATGAAACTAGCCTAGCTTTAAAAAGAAGCTGTAAAAAGATGAAACTAGCCTAGCTTTAAAAAGAAGCTGTAAAAAGATGAAACTAGCCTAGTTTTTAAAAAGAAGCTGTAAAAAGATGAAACTAGCCTAGTTTTTAAAAAGTA